TTGTTTCTCAGCTGTTTCTTTAGATTCTGGCACGATGTGTTGGTTCTATTTGAGATATTTCTTCATTCAGCAGGTCAGGCAGTGAAATTGAACTCGGTAGTTAATTACAAATAATTCATGAGTTACTTTTTGACATGGGCCAGGTACGTTTGGTTGACTGTTTCCCTTAATAAATGAAATCATAATTTAAAAAGTAGATATTGAACTTGTTCAGGTTATCTTTCTCTGATATTAAAATTTGTTTGATCCAAAACATTTAAATATAACTATCCATCCATCCATCCATTCGCGTCCGCTTATCCTGTTCAGGGTCGCGGGGGGCGCTGGAGCCTATCCCAGCCGTCATAGGGCGAGAGGCGGGGTACACCCTGGACAGGTCGCCAGTCTGTCGCAGGGCTAACACACAGGGACAGACAAGCACTCACATTCACTCGCACATTCACACCTAGTGGCAATTTGGATTATCCAATTAACCTATCCCCACAAGGTGCATGTCTTTGGACGGTGGGAGGAAGCCGGAGTACCCGGAGGGAACCCACGCAAACACGGGGAGAACATGCAAACTCCTCACAGAAAGACCCCGGCCTGATGGTGGAATTGAACTCAGGACCTTCTTGCTGTGCGGCAACAGTGCTAACCACCGTGCTGCTAATATAACTAATGTGCCAAAAAATTAAGAAATCAGGAAGGGGACAGTTACTTATTCACAGCACTGTAAGTTTTCACATGTGAAGTGACAGTCATTAAATTCTTGAAGTTTTCCTTGAGAGTTTTGATTTTTGCTTTTTATGGATTTGACATTCAAGCAACTTAAAGAAGTCCAGACGATTTTCTTTGCAATCTCCTTTGAGCCACAAAAGACCTCACAATTCTGAAAACTGAATCACGAGGCTGCTGCCTGAAGTCGAGGCAATTATGAAAAGAACTGATACTGATCTGATTTATTACACTGCTGAATGATGCCTCTGTGACGCTCAGGCGATCTACAGTATATGAAGAAGGGAGGTGATTTTTCTGCCTTCCAGGAAACGCAAAATGAAACTATCTTTATGGGGTGGTTTTTTTTTTTGGTTTTTTTTTTTTTTGGTTTTTTTTGTAAAGCTTGACATCTTCAGCTGGGTTTGTTCTTTTTAAACATTTGGCAACAGAACGGCACGCTCTGAATGACTGGTGAGCTTGCGCTAACATGCGTTTCTGTGCCCTCAGCCCTCCTGGTGGGGTTTGTGTTGACGATGGCAAACTATAGCTTCTTCTCCACTCTGCTGGCCTTCTTCATCACCTCCTCCAGACTGACCCGCTGGGGAGGAGCGCAGAAGAAGAAGATCGACGCCGAGTACAAAGAAGGTGAGAGACGTAAAGGCCTCACAGGTGCTGCAGAGACTGGTGGAAGCTCTGTGACACAGTGAGGAGGCGGAGCCACAGAGAGAATGAGAGATGAAAACACTTTTGATGTCTTACTCAAACTAGCGGCACAAAGCATCCGACCATTAGCTTGTGGGTGAAGTAAAGCGTCGATCAGCAGCTCCACTGACTGAAACGGAGCTGAAGCTGTGCATGCACTTGTGTTTGTAAGAAACCAAATTTAAAGCTGATAACAAACTTTGCTGCCATCCTCAACAATTCTAACAGACACACCTGTAACATGCACAGGTGTGTCTAAGCGAGGGAACAGCATTTTGTTGGGGGGGTTTTTTTAGGTTTTTTTTAGTTTATTTAACAAAAAATTAATATGTGCGTAATTACTGTGTTTAAAAAATAAACAAAAAAATTCTAACTAAATGATGCATTCTCATAAACCTACAATCAGCTCTGTGTTTTATCATCTGAGAAGGGATCCCCTTTCCCCAAACTGAAACAAAGAGGTAACAGACATCACAGTCATCTTAATAAAATATCATCTTCTTCCTCCTCACCTTAAGCCTCGTCTCCTGAACTGAAGTCAGGGCTCTAACACACGAAAACATACGTAAAATAGCTAATTTATGTCCGATATTCTCACAATTACTTATCGTCAACAGATCAGACATGAGATGGATAAACAACAACAACAACAGCAGCTAGTTATAAGCTAACATAAGTTTTCCAGCCTCTCCCAGAGTAAATAAAGGCAGATGCTTCTTACCCGGCATTCACAGCTGAGGTAAACGGTGAACTGACGTATTTCACTGTCGGGGGAAAGGGTCACTTTGCCATCAGAGTACACTGACAGCAAATCAGGAAGTGTGTTCACAAACAACAGTAGAAACGTGCACTCCGGTCACAGCTTTTATGGAGTACCGTCTAACTTTAATACTCGGATCTCTTGTAGCTGGCCAAAATGCGTTTGTCCAGCAGCCACCATAGCTAGGATCTCTATTTAATTGGGAGGGGTTAGGAAATAGACCTCTGTTGACCATAATCTGTAATCTGCTGGCATCTAGTGGTGAAAATGTAACTTTAAATTTAATTATTTTGCATATTAAGTTTATTCATATGAAATTTAAATAAACTAATAACATATTTTACATTATTATACTAAATACGTTTATTTATTGCTTTTTTAATGGGCCAATGTGACGAGTTTGCTTTTTAAATGATCTGTGGCTGAGAGAGGGAAAAAAACTAAGCATCTGATTAGTGACTCCCCTTGACCCACCGCCTTTTACCTGGGCTGCTTAAACAGTTGTCCTGGAACAGTTTGAATTAAATGTGAATTACTTGTTTTTAGGAGGTCAGAGGAATTGGGTTCAGGTTTTCTGCAATGGAGGTGTTCCTACTGAGCTGGCGCTGCTCTACATGATCGAGGTAAACTGAGAAGCACAGGAAATAAGCTGCTCTGTGTGAGCGTAATGTTAGTAAAGTTATTCATTTCCTGCTCGTGCTTCAGGTGGGTCCAGGTGAGATCCCCATCGATTTCAATAAGCAGTACTCTGCCTCCTGGATGTGCCTCTCCCTACTGGGCGCGCTCGCATGCAGTACCGGGGACACCTGGGCATCTGAGGTGGGGCCAGTCCTCAGCCTATCAAAACCGAGACTCATAACCACTTGGAAGGAAGTCCCCACAGGTGAGGAGCCAGTAAGAGGGTGGAGTAATGATGTGAATGTTCCACTTTGTGTTAAAGAGGGGAAAAGTCCCACAGCACAGTTCAGATCAGACTGGGGTTTTTTTAAGTTGTGAAGCTCAGGACTCCTGAGAATTGACTCTTTTCCATGAAGCCAAACACACAGATTAGATTTTCACAACCGTTCATCAGGACGAGGAGGCGTGATTGTGAGCTTCATTAATAATGTGACTTGTCACATTGATTTATCTGAAGAGAGTCCACAGATGAACACTTCTTTTCATGCTGTGTGGCATCTCATTAAAAGGCTGTACGTACAGAAGATCAGCAGTAAACAAAAAATGAAATCATGTTTTTAGATTTCAGTTGACCTAATCATGCATCCTTTTGCGCTGAAAATCATTTTTAGATAAGTTGCCTCATTTTTCTGGGGCTTTTTTTCCCTGCAGGAACAAACGGAGGCGTTACTCCCATAGGATTGGTTGCCAGCTTCCTCGGTGGGGCAGCAGTGGGTGTGGCTTACTTTGTGACGCAGTTGCTAACAGTCAGCGACCTCCACCTGGCCGACCCCCAGTGGCCGATCGTCGTGTACGGCGGCGTGGCCGGCCTGCTCGGGTCCATGCTGGACTCTTTCCTGGGGGCGCACATGCAGTACTCGGGTGGGTTTGAGCCAGATCTCATGTGAATGTTGTTAAGTGTTTGCATACGTAGAGAAACTTCCTGATCTGCCACACAGCCTCTGATTCTGTCTCGCAAACCCAGATGTGTCAGACAGATTCAGATGTCGCGTTCATACTTTGAACCTTTAAAATGTTGTTTGACATCATTTACTGACTGAATCTCAATCCGGGCTCATCTTCACTCAATTGTTCCAATAATCTCCAAGATCCAGCTGCAACAGATGTTTTTCATCAGTGTGATCAGTTACAACATGATCAATGATTGATCAGTGTCTGAAGCTTTACACAGATCAGTTTGATTTAAACACCAATTCTCAGCAACGTACAGCAAATGTTTGCAGTCTGACTGCTGAGTTACAGAGATGAGATTAAAGTTTAGTTTGAGCTGATTATAAATCAGATGTTAGGATTTTTCCTTTCCGCTGTTGCCAAAGTGCCTGCTCATATGGTGTCGTCTGATTGTTGGGTTTTTACCTCACAATGTGAAGCTCCTCGAGATGATTTGCTGCTGTAAAAAATAAGATTGAACTGAATCTGATGCTGAAGCTTGACGTTCATACGGAGATCAGAGGAAGCAGGAGAACAGTGAGTGGCTTCCTTTTAGAGTATTAAACATGCCCAGTTAGAGTGAAGTTCTGCAGTTTCTTTCCCTATAATAGTTGAACCATTGAACTCAGCAGCCCTCAGAGATCAAGCAGCTTTTACTTCAGTGAATGTTGTTGGTTTCAGGAGAAAATCCCAGCTCATGGAGTTCAAACTTATTTCACTAAAAATTAAACAGAATTAAAACATAGCTTCAGAGGGGCTCTCCTAAACCTCAGTCCCTGTTTAGCTTGACTGAAACAAGTAAACCGCATCTGCAGACTAATAAAAAAAAAAAAGAAAAAAAAGAAAGAGTTGAACTTTTTGGTAACGTTTTCTGCAGCTGGGATTTCCTTTCGTGCAGTGACACGCAGAGATTTTCTGACTTTTCTGTGTCCCCTCAGGCTTTGACGCGAGCATCGGGAAGGTGGTGAGCTACAGCTCCGCCACCACCCAGTGGATCTGCGGGAAACCCATCTTAGACAACAACGCAGTCAACCTGTTCTCCTCTGTCCTCATCGCGCTCATCCTGCCGGGGCTGGCCTGGGGTGCGTGGCCTCAATAGACTGACACTAAAAAGCACAGTTCACAGTTGTCTGCCTGTTTTATGACCTGCTGGCTGCCTGAATTAGTGTTATTCAAACATTGACTAAACATCTGAGACCAACATTTTTTATTTTTATTTTTTTTTAAACAAAAAACAAAAAGAGACAGGTTTTAATAACTGAGCCACACCTGCACCATCAGCTGCACCCACACCATCAGCTCAAAGCCACTGTGTTTTTAAACATGACATAGGAGGCCATGGATGTATTAAACTTCACTGCCAACCCCTCAGTCTGGATGTGACTGATTTGTTTTAGATGAGATGACGTTTCTGCCATTTAGTGAAAAAATAAAAATAAAAAAAAAAAATCAGGAAATGAAACTGGTGTAATTTTGACGTAAACAAAGAAAACTGGCAGCAGGGTGGAAGGTTGGTGACTGTGTCTGCAGAGCTGTGATGAATATGAACACAGCAGCAAAGGGAAGATGGAGCATTAAGGTTAAACTGCTCTCAAAAGTTCAGGTTGAGGATCCGCGGTGGACGGAGACATGAGGGTACGTCTGAGGAGGCAAGGTCGGTCGTTAATATGCAGCCGTGTAAAAGTTCAGTCGAAGAAGAGAAAATGTGGAGGAGTCCACGGATCATTTTCAGAGGTATTACTGTTTTTATTTCAGTGTCTGAGAGAGAAGGCACTAAACCAAACCGGGAGAGTGACATTGACTATGAACAGGCGAGAGAGAGACGTCAGGATTAAATTAATATATATATAAAGTTTACAGAACAGCAGGTGCGCATGCACGCACGCACACACACACACACACACACACACACAGCTTATTATCTACACGAGTCCTGATTGGTCACACGGAGCTCGCTGCAGAGCGCCCTGTTTCACAGCAGGATATGTTAATGTCCAGCAACAAAACAAAAACCCTCAGAAACTCAAAGAGCCGACATCAAGTCCTTCCTCCTGCAGATACATGTTCGATTATTTCTGCAGCTTTTTTCTGTAAGTAAAAAACAAAAACACTGTATCCCACTCTGCCATCATCGAGACCTCTAAATTAACTCAAAATACAAGCTTATTCAAAGTTTACTAAATAATAACAACTTGACCTTTTTTCCCCTCTCTGAAAATATATGATAGACTCGCCAACAGTGGAGGAAAGTGTATTGTAGCAAAGCTATAATTACTTTAACTCAAAATTTGACATTTCTCAGACTTTTCAGACCCAAAAAACCCCAAGAAGCCCCAAAATTTGATGATTAAAGAGCTCAATAATTTGATGTAAAGTCTGGAAAACAGTTTTAAGTTGTTTGAAAATAAAAAAACATTCTGAGAGCAGAATTTCAATGGAGAAAAATCAAAGTGCTAAGAGTGAGTCAACTTAGTGTTTCACATGAGGAAAAAAAACTCTGTAATTTTTGATATATGAATAATGAAAGATTGACAAGAATAAGTAAAAATACTCAAATTCATGTTAATTTAACATTAATTATTACATTGTCAAAATTTGGAGGTTGAAAGAATTGTTCATTTTAATTTGACTAAAGCTGAAATTGCAGGAACGTAAATACATAATTTAAAGGATTATAACTAAGAATAAGTCATGAATTTATTTTAAATTCAACATTTACAGAAAAAAAATTCAAAATTTAGGTTGTAAAAATGAAGAATTGTAATTCTGAATTCTTCAGCTGAGACGTTGTCACATCAGCTGTCACTTGTTCCCTGCGATGAGTTTTATCATAAATATATATATATACCCAAATATTCTAAATTGTTTACATTTTAAACGGCTGCAGTTTTACTAAAGCTTTACTGCTGAAATAATATTTTCATGTAGTATTTAAGGTGAAAGTGAAGTCTGCTTTGAAAGCCACCACACATAAATCCATAATGACAGTTTCTGTTATGAATGGCGGTTTATTTTGAAAAATCATCCTAAAGAAAAAGGAAGATGTGTCCCGTTAACTAGCAGGAACCTGAAGCGAACCTGAAAGCGCAGCACGACCTGCAGTTCCTCGAACATCCACTTTAGGTGCCACAGACGTCTCCACAACAGTAAACAAAAGGGGTTATTTTTCCTCAGTTTCTGTGATTCTGTTTACAACGTTCTTCCTCTTAAAACAATGACTTTATTCTACGGTTCAACTTCACCCTTGAAATATGACTTTTATCAGATATTCTCATATTTCTAACACCTATTTTTGATATTTTTCTCGCTTTGAGGCTTCAAAACCCACATGAATCTCTCCAGAGATCACATGTAACTGATGACCAAACAGTCTGTAGTGTTAGTTTTTTAGAAACATGTCAGTTTTCTGACACACTGGAGTGTTGCATGTTTCAGAACCCAAAGAAGTCCAGATCAGTAATGACCACCGGCACCAAAATCACAGTCTTCAGTCTTTTTTTGTGATGATTGAAAACAGTTTCTCTCTCTCACACAAAAAACACTCACACAAAATAAGGGGGAGGGGCAAGAGCCAGGGTGGGGCGGGGCTTCAGCTCAGACTCTGCTGTGAGTGGAGGACGGCCCCGGTCACAGCTGGTCTTTGTAGTAGCCAAGCTTGGCGAGGGACATTTCCCTGCGGAGCTGCATCACCTCCCAGAACATCTGTTCTGCTGCAAACACAGAGGGAGGCAGGGAGTTTAATCACACTGATATCGAGCCACCACAAGAATCCACTGGCGCGTTTCTTACCGTCCTGCTGTTTGACCAGCCCTTGGTGGATGTAGCGGATATAGGTGAAGAAGTTGCACACCGCTGTGATCTGAAGGAGAGAGGACACTGCTGAAAACACCAGTCAACAGTTTCTGAGCTTCAGGTGAAGTCATGCAAAGCTACTCTGCAAAGAGTTATAGACTTAACGTATTTATTCCTTATGTTTAATGTGAGGACAGGATTACATGCTGAACTATAAGCTTAGTGATTTTGCTAAAACTTAGGTTTCTGTTAATTTAGACGATTTAAAGTATTCAGATTTATGTTCTAATTTCTCATTTACATAAAAAAAAAACACTTAAAAAAAATAAAAATCATGGAGGGAGGTTTCTAACTACAGCTCCTGTGACATTCACTTGGGGCTCCAAGTTAAAACTTTGAAGAATAAATAAACACATTTAGAGAAAACAGTTTGTGTCTCTGTGGATAGTTTCATCCTTCATAACAAGTGTAAGACTTAAAGTTAGAGGCATGGCTGCTTTAATTAGTCATTCTGAAAGCTCTTCATTCTTATCCTCGTGCAGAGGGACTGCTCATGCAGAAGTGCAGTAACATGCACTGAATCACCTCCAGAGTTGTTTTCTTACTTTTACAGTGATGGTGGAAGAAGCTGGCAGGATTGTTTTAGTGCTCACTGAGCTTTGGAGTAATTTAGAAAATGTTCTGGCTCAGGAAAGATGGACCGGACATAAAGGGGAGGTAAAGCTTTCAGGTGTGAGTGGATGGCTGGGTGTTACACTCACTCTGTATCTACAGTAGGGAGACACGTAGTAATAGCTGGACGAATCTCCAAACTTGATTCTGTGCTTGCAGGTTTTGGTCTGACCGCTCAGGGCACATTTTCTACCAGATGGACATAAACAAAAACAAACAAAGAAAAAAAAAACATGAGTTAGCTGTTACTTTAACAGGAAGAAACAAAAAAACTCCTACAAAGCAGAAACTACACAGGAGCAAAACTAACACGGCTTGAGGCAGCGAAGGAGGAGAAGAGGACGACAGGATGGCTTTGACATCCTGAACAGAAGTTTAGAAGGAGGGAATAAGTTAGCAGGAGGGTTTGGAAGAGCCGGATGGAGGTGGGGAGCAACTGAGGAGAGGCTAAAGAAAGGGAAAAAGCTAATGGGGGAGAGAGTCAGACTTACGTGACGAGCTCAGACCTGCGCCCACTAGAGGAGGAAATCGGAAGATGGAGATGTAATGATGAAGGAGTGAAAGCTCAATGCAGGGGAGAAAGTGTGTGCGTGTGTTTGAGTTCAAGTATGTGCACGTGCTCACTTTGGTCCTCCACACTCCACCGCCGATGCTTTGACCACAGGCAGCGGCTGGAAGCCGACTGGTTCCACACTCAGTGTGTTCTGCTCCACGGCCTCTAAGATGGCCGAACCCAGCTGGGGGAGAGGAGAGGAGAGGAGGGCGTTAACGGACGCAGGAGGTATCAGAATCTTTCTGATTCATGTCAACATGCATCTCCAGGGGACTCAGAGCGGTCCCGGCTTTTCCCTGGGATTTTCTAAACCCTGCACATTTGTCAACTGCACTTTTTTAAACAATCAAATCAAACGCATACCGAGACAAACCGGGTGAAGCCTTTTCCAGCTGGCAGAGGGCGAGCACGGGGCACGCCTTGCCAGGTCGCCACCCACTCACGCTCAAATCTTCTTACTGTGAGGCGACAGTGTCCCCAGAAGGCAGATGCACGCACCTTTAACGAACATTTTGCAGCTTTGTCTACAGAAACCTAACATCTTTTAATCATCTGAGCTAAACAGTGACTGAGTTTGTGAGATCAGATCACAAGTTTTAAACCTTCTAAACATTTTGATCTTCACAACAAAAAAAACTGAAATGATAATATCAGTGCTGAAATCTCAGATGGGTGCATGTTTGCATGTCTTTCTACTCCTAATAAAGCGCTTTTAAGAGTTCGGGAGGTCGTCATGTACCTCGCTCTTGTTGAAGGTCAAGCAAGGGTAGATGTCCTCACGGTAAATTCTCTCCAGAAAGCTGCAGCTTCGGTCGAACGTCGGCTCCTCCTTCCATGCCTTGAACTCGCTGAACAGCTGACCGTCCACCTGCAAGTCAGAAACTATGTGTAGTCTCATCATCGACTGTTAAAGAAAAAGCTCTGGGAGCGTGAGCACTCCTCCTCCTGCTGCACCTCTTACCTCCCGACACTCGCGTACAATGGGCTGCGTGGCCGACGGGTCGGGCTGCGTCCCCAGCATGGCGGAGGAGGTGCTCTTGTTCCTGCTGTGGCCCTTCCTGAAGGGAGTCTTCACGCCTCCTCCTGTTCCCACAGAGGGAAGCTCACCCACCGGGGAGGTCGGGGAGGAGAGCACGAGAGTCTTCAGAGCCTGAACCTCCGCCTGGAGGACGTCGATCTGAAGAAAGAAACAGAAATCCTCAGAGTAAGCAGGTAAACAGTCTGGTCTGATGTGGAGTGGTGAGGTCTCACCTTGCCCAGAGCTTCTTTCAGCTGTTTTTCAGCATTTGCCTGTTTGACGTTTGCTTCTCTCACCATTTTGTGAGCCTCCTGGAAAACACACAGACGGTGAATCAGCAGCTAAACGAGCTCAGTGCAACTGAAATATCATAAATAAACTCAAAAACACAGAACAGGAACATAAAGGTAATCTGCATTTATAGACACGCACAAGCACACAGAGTCCCAACACCTCCTGCAAGAGAAAGCCAAGAGTGAACGAGAGCACGGAGGAAGAGGAGTTGGAGCAGCACGTTTTCAGGGCTCGCCGGACAGATTCATTCAGCACAGACACATCGGCTCTGGACCTCACATGTCACAGGAGACACTCGTGGAAACATTCTTAGGTTTTTAGCATTGTGCCTCGATCTGTGGTCGAGTTTGAGCTTTTCAGCAGGGCTATCTGTTGTTAGGCAAAAAGGCTGCACTTCATTTTTACCATAATACAACACAAAAGCTAGACTGAACAAAAATGATAATTTAACTTCATTCTCATCAAATTCAATTATCTGCCCATATTTAGAGGAAACTTGCGATGCCTGATGGGTGACAAAACCAAATGTTTAGAGTTCACCTAAAAGCTTTGTTAAACCCGTCACACCTCTTTCACACTGCCTGTGTCAATCACTCATATTCTTTCTGTCCGGTGCCTCAGGAGGAAGAGGAGGAAAGGAAACAGGAAGTAGAGGACACAGACGTAGGGTAGGTGGACCGACCTGGAAGAGACTGGCGGTGAGCTCCTCCAGCTCCTGGCCGAGCTGATCTCTGACTTTAGACAACCTCTCACACTCCTCATCCTTCAACAGCAGCTCCTTCCACACACACACACGCACAGCAACACAATAGAAAGACAACCAAATGAACATGTGGAAATGAAAGCATGTCGACAAACGAACAAAGAGATGAAATTAAAATAAGTGAAACATGTTTAACACAAAAAATCATTTAAAACATGCTTTTAAATAAAACTCTGAAAATTACACGATATCGCTCTAAAGTAATGAACGCTGTGGTGAGATGTAGTGAATACACACACACAAATACACACGCACACAAACATAAAGGAAAGCAGTAACATTCGTCTTGTTGCGTGGCAGTAACGTCCCTCAGTTACTCAGAAAAACCTCAAACCTTTCTCCAGGAACTATTTTCTTTTTTATTTCCAGTCTGAAGAAGCACACAGTAAATTACAGCTCAGCTGAGGCAAGACGTGATCATTGTTTACATCCTGTTGTCACAGTAAACGGGCACTGCCTCCTGCACTGTGGCTAAGATCTGGTAGAAATAAAATAAATCCTAATGAAAGACGTCTGTGGATTTTAATTGTATTTATTTTTTGAATTACGGTTTCATAATTTCTGAAGACTGCCCATCTTTAAATTATTTCTCTCATCTTTTTTCTGTCCTCTCTCATGTCTCTGCTCTTGATCTTATTTCTTTTGTCTCTCCTGACAAAAGCATCCCTGAGTTTGGGGTGAACGGTTCCTTCAAAGCTTAAACACGAGAACTTGAGTTAAAGTCATGATTAGGTCACTTTCAGGTCAGATTAGTCTGGGGGAAGCTGACGTTGTGATGTCTTCTGCGTGATGAAGACATAACCCTAAGTGAGCGCACCCTACCCTCTGAGCCTTGGCGAGCTCCTCCTTCAGCCTCTCACATCCTTTCTCTCGGACCTCCATCACCGACGGGCTGCGCAGCCGTGACAGGCTGTCGCTCAGAGCACCACACTCCTCCCCATCCTCTCCGGACATGAACTCGGCCGACTCTGCCTCCAGGCCTGGCACGCTGTGCGGGGAAACAGCACAGGTGAGTTACGGATTACGGCTCATCGATTGGGTGCAGGCGCCTGTGTTTTTGTTACCTTCCATTGTGGCTGTGCCGCGGTGCTGAGTACACCGGCTGAGTGGGCAGCTGATCTGCTCGCAGTGAGGTGGGGAGGCCCGGAGGAGGTGCTCCCAGAGAGTGGGTGCGATATAGAGAAGTGGGCGGGGTGGTGTGACGGATGGCCGGGCGCTGATCCGATTGGTTCTGCAGGGCAAACACAAGCAGTCAGGGTGACACAAATTCCAGAACAGTGAGTTTATGATATTTCATCTTCACGCACAAACACACAATGAACTTTTCCACACAGGACACAAAAAAATCCTCGACAGCGAAGGGTTGTTTTTTTTGGGGTTTTTTTTTTTAAATCATGCACAAGAGAAGACTTGGAGGCTGCGCAGATTTCTAAAAACAAAAACATTTTTATACCCGATGAACGATGAACTACGAGAGTGGACCTCCTGAAACGTGAAGCATGCAGGGAGCTAACGGGAACGGCTGGAGCTCCGACCTTACCTGAAGGTCAGGTGTGGTGGGCGAGGCCAGATTCACCTCGTGGAACCCCTCCAGAGTCTCTGCATTGTTCTGACCGCTGCTGCAGGCCATAGCAACTGCTCTCAGACATCATACACTCTGAACAGACACACACACACAGAGCCGTGAGTCGTGTGAAAGCTGCAGCAGTCTCGCTTCAGTAGACTGCAGATGGAGAATTGGTGACTAACAGCGGGGGGGACCCAAAAAACAGGCTTCAAAAGATGTTTGTTGGTGAATTAGCAGCTGTCAGCGCTCTACTCGCTGCAAGTTTGCAATTAAAAAGTTTCTCGTTAACGCAGACAAATACAAAAGTCTTTCAAATGGAGCCTTTATGTCCAGTTTATGCGAAGCTTGTAAGAGGCAGTGGTGGTCTGAAATTCAGCTGATTCTGTATGCGCTCCTGCAAACAGGTTCACGACTACACCCCCACAAAATAAAATACCATCTACCTGCAAAAAAAAAAGGAAAAAAAAGTAACAGTCTGGCACTCTGTTTGCTGCCCCAGCTGGACACACAGAGTACTGCGGCATGCATAATTCAAATCACCACCTCAGAATTAAAGAAAACATCAGTGTGTTTTAATCTTGTGATTATTTTTCATGTGAAACCCTGAAACTGTCAAACTCTTGCAGGTGAGTTCAGGTGTTAAATTCAGAGGTGTTAAACTTAAGGTGAGCACAGAGAAGAATTTTCAGCAGATTAATGAGGAAACAAAATCTGCATGGTGCTCACAGCAGAAACAGCCCTGGACCTTATTAACGGCTGTTTGATGACCTGAAGAAATAATAAAATAAAAAAATTATTTGGGTTTTTTCTAAACAGGCTAACACGCTCGGTGAAAGTGTCTCAGATCTCAAATTGTTTTCTGTTCACTGTACCATGGTGCAGCTGTGGATAGAGAAATCTGGAGGTTCAGTGGAGGCCCGAGGACAGGCAGTCAGTAAAACTCAGGTGAAGGAGTGACTCAGCACACGCCAACAGGAAAAGACTGTCCTGTACCTGAAAAACAGGGAAAGAGGCACAGAGACAGGTTAGTTTTACTTTCTGCTGTGAGTGAGTTTAAAATATTTGTCTTGGTAACCGATCCTAAAGATCATCAGGCTTAGAAGTCACTCTGTCTTTTAAATATCCCCTAAACGCCTTTATTTTTAATGGTATTTTTTAAAATCCTTAAATGAACCCCTACTACTCCTCAAAGAAAGAAAAAAAAACTGGAGGTAGCAAGAGCTCAGGCACTTTTTGCAGTCCAAGACCTGCCTGAGCCAGCAGCAGCTCCAACATGAGCTAACATTAGCTGGTTTATGGATGCTGACTCGTAACATTTAGAGAGAATGAGGCGATCCCTGCATTTACCGTTTTACTGTCCGGATTCCAAACCTTAAATGAGAGCCGAGCTGAGTGGGCAGAAATTTCAACAGTAATTAATCTCACAGGCGGAAACAGGAGATGTCTTTGCCCCAGACTTCACCTGTCAGGCTGCTGAACTGCTGATTTCAAGGAGGGTTTCTGTGTTTTTCAGTTTCTTAAGAAACATTATAATCGTCGTTTTATTGATTCCTGCACAGTTTTCATTAAACTCCAGGTCTGAACACAGTGTACAGACATCGCTCATGGTTTCAGCATGACAGCACAGGAGCTCAGTGGGACACTCTCTTGGATTTCGAAGCCAGTTTTTCCATCCCTAATTGAGACGTATCCACACAATAACTCACAATAACGCCTTTTAATTTAAACTGAAGCTTTTTTAAAATGATTTCCCTTTCTCCACTGAGCATTAGTTAGTAAGTAAGTAAGTAAACTTTATTTATTAAGCGCTTTTCACAGACAGGCAATCACAAAGCGCTGTACACAAATATTAAAATAAACAATAAAATCAATAGACATTATATACAATGTAAAAGATCAAATGTAATAATGTAATAAATAAAAAAATAAAATATATATTTTTTATATATATATATATATATATATATACACTACACACACACACACACACACACACACACACACACACACACACACACACACCCACACACACATATATATATATATATATATATATATATGTAAATAAAATATGTAGATCAACAAAAGGCTTGTTTGAACAGAAGAGTTTTTTAACTGTTTTTTAAAAGAATCCACAGAGTCAAGCAAACGTAATTGTAGTGGTAAACTGTTCCGCAGCCTTGGTGCAACAGACTGAAAGGCTCTGTCCCCTTTTGTCTTTGTTGCAGGTTTCACACCAATAAAAACACCAAGCTCACTGCACTGGTAGAAAATAAAGATGGCTGCCAGGGAGACATTAGGCTGAAGTACACCTGTGAAGCAAACATAATTTACTCATCCTTAATGTCTGACTGCTCTCTCAGTCCCTGCACTGTCATGACCAGACACATGACCCCACGTCACGGACTGTTATTCCTCAAACATCTATATACAGCAATGTGTGTTCACAAGATTTTCAGTAAACTTGATCTCTGACCTTGAGGTCAATGTCCATGAGTTTCAGCTCGCCTAAGATTTCTAGTAGACGCCCCTACACCAATCTTGAGTCATCGCTGCCCGCCCGGGTTATGACAGGACACCATCAGCCTTCAGGCTTAGGAGTAAAAACTGCAGTTCCTCTGACATCCACTTGAGGCCGCCTCCAATGCTGAGTCAGTTCCCATAGACTCCGATGTTAAAGCAGGTGGTACAAATGTGCTACCACAGGCTGAAGGCTGTCTAACTGACAGTCCCTGAACTCGACCTCTGGACTGTTTGTGTTGTTGGCACTTTTCATACTGGATTATCTGGCTAGTAATGAGGCGTCCTGCATTTTGGTGAGAGAAATTTTAGTCTTCCTCATCAGGAAGCATTACAATTACTTGACTATATGTGTCAATCCTGCACCTCGTCCCTCTGAGCCTGGTCTGATGGCAGTAGCACTGCTGCTTCACTGCGATAAAGAGGACATTTTAACCTTGGAGGCAACCTCAAGTGGCCGTTAGAGGAACTGCAGTTTCAAGTCCAAACAGAAAACTCATATTTTAAAGCTTGCTAATCTTTAAATCTCTGAGCTAGAAATGGTAGCAAGGACCAACAAGACTTCACACACCAAGCTCAACAACCCAAAACACCACCACCAAAGAAAAACAGCACTGTATTTCAAACATCTTCCGGTTAGACATTAATTCGTCTTTCATCTGCCAGCACTATGATACAAAGTCCACCTGAACTTGCCGTTTTCAAGTAGGGAGCGGGCACGAGGTGGGTCTCTTGCAAGTTTAACCCATGCAGCTCCCTTATCTTCCAGTAATGTGGAGTTATTACTGCATTTCCTCCACAAACTGCCCAAAGTTAATGTACAGCTCATGAATAGGGATGGGTACCGGTATCAGAACTGTATGGGTATGTCAGAACCGGTGCTGACATAAACTGTAGTAACCAGACCGAAAAGCAGCGCACATTCTGGTGCTTTATTTCGGTGCTTTTTTTCCTGAGATGTCATACACTTTGGATTCTAGCCAATCATTTTACCTTTGCAAGCGTAGTAGGCGGGCCCAGGTACGTACAGTGGGGCAAAAAAGTATTTAGTCAGCCACCGATTGTGCAAGTTCCCCCACTTAAAATGATGACAGAGGTCAGTAATTTGCACCAGAGGTACACTTCAACTGTGAGAGACAGAATGTGAAAAAAAAATCCATGAATTCACATGGTAGGATTTGTAAAGAATTTATTCGTAAATTAGGGTGGAAAATAAGTATTTGGTCACCTCAAACAAGGAAAATCTCTGGCTCTCACAGACCTGTAACGTCTTCTGTAAGAAGCTTTTCTGTCCCCCACTCGTTACCTGTATGAATGGCACCTGTTTGAACTCATCATCTGTATAAAAGACACCTGTCCACAGCCTCAAACAGTCAGACTCCAAACTCCGCCATGGCCAAGACCAAAGAGCTTTCGAAGGACACCAGGAAAAGTATTGTAGACCTGCACCAGACTGGGAAGAGTGAATCTACAATAGGCAAGCAGCTTGGTGTGAAAAAATCAACTGTGGGAGCAATCATCAGAAAATGGAAGACATACAAGACCACTGATAATCTCCCTCGATCTGGGGCTCCACGCAAGATCTCATCCCGTGGGGTCAAAATGATCATGAGAACGGTGAGCAAAGATCCCAGAACCACACGGGGGGACCTGGTGAATGACCTGCAGAGAGCTGGGACCAAAGTAACAAAGGTCACCATCAGTAACACACTACAACGGCAGGGAATCAAATCCCCAGTGCCAGACGTGTTCCGCTGCTGAAGCCAGTGCATGTCCAGGCCCGTCTGAAGTTTGCCAGAGAGCACATGGATGATACAGCAGAGGATTGGGAGAATGTCATGTGGTCAGATGAAACCAAAGTAGAACTTTTTGGTATAAACTCAACTCGTCGTGTTTGGAGGAAGAAGAATACTGAGTTGCATCCCAAGAACACCATACCTACTGTGAAGCATGGGGGTGGAAACATCATGCTATGGGGCTGTTTTTCTGCCAAGGGGACAGGACGACTGATCCGTGTTAAGGACAGAATGAATGGGGCCATGTATCGTGAGATTTTGAGCCAAAACCTCCTTCCATCAGTGAGAACTTTGAAGATGAAACGAGGCTGGGTCTTCCAACATGACAATGATCCAAAACACACCGCCCGGGCAACAAAGGAGTGGCTCCGTAAGAAGCATTTGAAAGTCCTGGAGTGGCCTAGCCAGTCTCCAGACCTCAACCCCATAGAAAATCTGTGGCGGGAGTTGAAAGTCCATGTTGCTCGGCGACAGCCCCAAAACATCACTGCTCTCGAGAAGATCTGCATGGAGGAATGGGCCAAAATACCAGCTACTGTGTGTGCAAACCTGGTAAAGACCTATAGTAAACGTTTGACCTCTGTTATTGCCAACAAAGGTTATGTTACAAAGTATTGAGTTGTATTTTTGTTATTGACCAAATACTTATTTTCCACCCTGATTTACGAATAAATTCTTTACAAATCCTACCATGTGGATTCATGGATTTTTTTTTCACATTCTGTCTCTCACAGTTGAAGTGTACCTCTGGTGCAAATTACTGACCTCTGTCATCATTTTAAGTGGGGGAACTTGCACAATCGGTGGCTGACTAAATACTTTTTTGCCCCACTGTACGTTCTTTTAGAGCAGAGCTACAGATTAAAAATGCCCAAGGCGAAGCGGTCAAAAGTCTGGCTGTACTTCACAGCAAAAGATGCAAACTCAGCAGCCTGCAACAAGTGCTTTAAGCTGATACTGTGATACTGTGCAAAGGAGGTAACACCTCGAATCTGATGAAACACCTCGAATCTGATGAAACACCTGGCAACGTATGCATTTTGTTAAAAGCCGAGAAATGCACCGTATTTGATAGCTTGCTGCGAGACCTCACACCGTGCACATCTACTGCGGGTGTGGTGCCTGTTATCGGACCCGGAGTTAGCAACATCCCCCAAGAACCCGAAGACGAGAGTCCTGGCCCCTAGCCCTGCCAGTGTAGCAGAAATGATGAAGGATGATGATGGCAGCAGCAGCCATTCTTCTCTGCGTGAGTAGCTTAATGTTGTTCGTGTGTAATTTACGTTGAGTAGGCTAACCACGTTATTACATTAATGCACGTAAGGTGAACTAGCAAACATCGTCGTAGTTACATGCGGCTCTTCTTGTTTGATGGCAGATACTCCCTTCACCCTGGCCAAAAAGGCTGAAATGACCAAAGAAAAAGTGGGAAATGGCTAAACACTTAGACAAAATTGGTGTTTTTTCCATTGTTTAAGCACTGCTTCCAGCCAAGAGTGATACCATATATGCCCTATAGCTGCAGAAAAGGCTAACATTGTTACCTTTTTACAAAAAAAAAACAGCTAAACATAAGAGGTTTTTGGACAAAGTTTGTGTTCTTCATTCTTTAAGCACCGGTTCGAACACCGTTTAAGCACCGGCACGTTTCAAAAGTACCGGTTTGGTACTGGTATCGGATAAAACCTAAACGATACCCATCCCTACTCATGAAGGCTGGAGTCAAAGTTCAGCAGGCAGGCAAGAAGTTCCCTCTGAAACTTCATACCCGAGTTACTATATCATTAACCAGCATCACCGTGATGTGCTCCCAAAGTAATTAATTACTTCTTTGTCTCTCTCCTTTGCTTTGCATACCTCAGCAGAGTGGCTGAACAGCACACCGGTCACACCTGCTCCACCTGGTGTGTGTGTGTTCAGTGGGTGTGTCCTCCTCTGATGAATGTAAACACAAAGAGAGACTTAAGAACAAATAAAGCTGCTGTCACTCCCTCGCTGTATTTTAAGAGCATGCTGAGTGAGTACTTTGTTTCTCCGTCAGTATCATCATGTCATCTCTTCTTCTGCGCCCGTCATTAGGCCTGATTAGGGGTTTTGTTCCCGCCGCAGTGAGGCATGCTGGGAAATGATCCTCAGCTGTGACGCCGTGTCTCGGACTCTGTTAACGTTGAGTTGTGTCATTGTTTGGTCCGAGTTTCACTGATGCTGGAATGCAGCTGACAGCAGGCATTAATGTTGCATTCAAGGCCAATCAGACATCAGACTACAAAAAACTGCTGATGATACCTGATATGAATAAATCTCCTGTTTCCTCTTGTGTGGTTTGTTGAGGAGGTTTGTGGTTTCAAACTAGGGGCACGGAAATCAGCAAGTAATGTCAGATTATGATATATCTGTCTGAGGTTAAAGAGCCAAATTCCACAAACCAATCACAACTTCCAACCAACAAAGAGAGTTAAAACAATCAAATACTGTGAAAGATGCTGATTTTAGATCATTTAAGGTATTTTGGTTTAATTATTTATCCCATAAAATATTAATATAAAAGAAAGAAAGACAGCTCACGTCTGACAGTGTGCCGCTAGAAAAACACATCGGCAAAAACTCATCCAGGATGTATGACACATGGTGATGGACATCAACACACACAGGTGAAACCCCACCTTCATTAAAAACAACCTGACTCCTCTTCCCTGCCTGCCTGTCGCCATAGAGACCAGTCCTACAGAGCTTGGCGTGGTAACCCGACACGTCGCGGAAGGATCTGGTTACTCGGGCCGGCCAATGAAGGCTCATCCTGTGTCTCAGCAGGCAGCGTTTACACGAATCCCAAACAGCTCGACTGACCACAACAATGAAAAGCTCACCATCAACGGATTATGGTGACAAATGGGTCAAAATAAAGGTGTCGGGGCTCTGTGGCACTGACCAGCATTTATCATTTAACACAGAGAAGAGCAGGTGAATGCCATCCTTTAATAAATCTCCAAAAAATAAGAGTGTGACACAGACAATCATTGGAGGAATACCTGCTTCACCAAACATACGACAACCAGGCCTGACAGAAACTTCTGTGTGCTTACAGATGTGTACAGGTAATGGTTGTTCCCATAATTAGATGTATCAACTGAAGTATCAGGATTTAAAGACCGAGCAGAACAAGCCAGACGTTAAAATCCTTTTGGGGTCTGTTCAATAATAGGATCAAGCCTGGAGATTCTTATACTTACCCCTCGATACATAAAGTGCAAAGGGAGGTCAGTTTGCATTCATTTACTGGTAATTATTCACACATTTTACTACATTTTAATTTTTTTCTAATTATTTGGCAATTTAAAAATAAATCATTTCCAGCTTTTCTTTTTTTCCTAAAATTGGAAATGTGATTTTTTTTTTCCAAAAATTGAACTTTTTTCTAGTGAATTTACAGGGTTTCGCTTATAAATTTATTTAAGCAGCAAATTTAGATTTTTATTTTTATTATTATTTTTTTAATCGTTTCACTTTCTCTGTGTGAATTTGGCAGCTTTTCTTCATAGATTTTTTTTTATTGCAGATATACTTATTTGGGTTTTTTTGGCCAGTTTGTCTCGTAAATTTTCCTATTTTGCCCACAAAATTGCAATTTTTTTCACTTTTTTGTCACAATTTTTTCACTTGGAAATTTGCCAGTTTATTCTCATAAAATTTCCTCCTAGATGTACCATTTTTTTCTTTGAAAATTTGCCAGCTTTTCCTGATAATTTTCCTCATCTCTTGCCATAAATGTGGCAGGTGTTTTCTTCTTTATTTGTACTGTTTTTTTCTCATTAATCTGCCAGGTTTTTATTTTTTCTAAGCCCTGGGGTTTCCTCTTCTTACCTTCAGTGGTCCTGACACACTGTAGTACTTCAGAGAAACCTGATACCAAGCTCAGTGATATTCATGCAGCATGTGCACAAATGTCACCTGAGTTTACACCTGCAACAGCGTCTCTGCTCATTTACCCGACCTCCAGCTCTCCCTGCACCCCGCTTACAGTGTCACCTGTACGCTGGAGGTCACTCTTCCAGGTAAGGTACTCCTGCTCTCAGGTGGTGCCTTGTGGACAACTAGCACTGGATTAGCCGCGGATAGCACGTTACGTGATGTTACCTATCATGCTAATGCATTAATACGTGAGCACCTGCGGTGGCTTAAGTTAGAGAGCTAAGGACTGTCACCTGACGCCGTCTGAAAGATGCATGACAGCGGCGTCTTTGCGCAGAGCTTCGGGTTTCGCTGTTACATCGGGCTAAGGATTAGCTGAGCAGCTAACGTTTGCTGGCCAATTACTTGACATTAGTAAGAGGGTGAGTGTGGGCACAGGTGTGTTAAAAACACGGAAATAAAGCACATGACAAGAAGAGAACTACTAAAAAACCAAAAACCCAAACACATCCGTCTTTCTCATTCAGTAAACATCAGGGAATCGCTTGCAGAGGGAAACCCTGCTTCCATTATCGGCCACTGCTCTAAGACTGGCCAGGGCTGGCTATTTTCATTCATTACATAAAACAGATGAATGCATGGATTTATGAAACTGCGGATTCACTTTAAAACTCAGAAAACTGAGTGAGTGACGGAGTGATGCTGAGGGAGAAGAGAAACGCTGTCCGATAATGGGCGCATCGATGCTTTTTGTATATAGCACGTAAGCTAGCGGTGCTGAGCAAGTTCGCTTAACTCAGCGACTCACGGATTAAAATAAAAACCGTAACGAGGCCTTAAAGGTGTACTCACCGGACCCCCGCGTGCATAGCAGCCCAGTCGGTCAGTCTGCCTCACGGTAACGTGCCGAAACAGCCCGAAAAACAGACAAACAAACAGAGAGACACTCACCGGAGCGGCTGTTGACGCAGAGCGGAGCTCCAACTGACGGGAGGTACGTTCACGGTCCGCTGGGAAACCACAGAGCCACCAAGCAGTTCGTCACAGAGCAGTCCGTGCAGAGAGCAGGAATTCATTACTCGGCATTAGGCCCATGAACAAATAAAATTACATTACATTTAATTTAATTGTAAAAAAAAAAAAAGAGAGAGAGAGAGAGCTCGTGAAAGAGGAAACAAATAAAGACTAAGAAAAATGCATTCAAATTAATATGTAGCTCAAAAAGTCTGGACTTGTGAACTAAAAGTTGTAAAATAAAATAATTATGATAATAATTAAATAAATAAAATATTGTGCTTGGACAGAGAGATAATATTCTGGGAGAATAAAAATTCAGATTTATGCAACTAAAGGCACAATATATGAAATGTATCATAAAATAAAAATATAGCTCAGGGAGGGGAATAATGCTTTACGATAGTTAAATTGTTGTTCAATTTACGATGTTAAAGTTGTGAAAACATAAAAAGAATAATCAAATAAAATAAACACACACAGTAATTATTATTTTAATTAATTTAAAAAAGTAGTAGGAGCGAGATAATATTCAGAGACAAAAATTCAAGTTTATTAAGTTTAAGTTGTAATAAACAAAATTGAACGTACTACTACTACTACTACTACTACTAATAATAATAATAATAATAATAATAATAATAATAATAATAATTTGTAGCTGGGAATGGGGATAGCATTTCCTGAAGGTCCCTGAGTATGAGATTAAATTTGTAAAATGAACAAATAGGTGGTATATTCCTTGAGATTAAGGTCTCCAGTGGTTTTAATCTTTAAATGTTCAATTCATTCCAGTCTGAGAGGCTGTGTGTGAGGATGAAGATAAACAGTGAAGTGAACATGTGAACAGTGATAAACAGTGAAGAAGAATTAAAAGCCACCAGGGGGCAAACAAGCCCCATTTTTCCAAGTTTAAAGACACGCTATGTTTTGTTGTGCGTGCGCACTTCCAGCACACGGAGACGCGAAGAATGCTTCCTCGGGTCTCTGGAGCTGTTCTCTATTAGATCCTGTTTCCTCGAGACTGCACATGTTCGCCCTCTTCTCAAACATACTGGTCCAGCTTTGTGGAAAATAACTGGTGGCACAAAGTCTGGCTTTTACCACAAAAACTCTTTATGACCAATAAAGGACGTTTCTTTTAAAATGCTTCATAGGTTCTATCCAACTAACCACTACCATCAGAGACTTGAAGGTGATATCAATTTAAATTGTTCTTTTTGTTGAACCGATAGGAAACAGTGGTTCATAAATTCAAGTTCTCCGTTTACTTTTGTATATAATGCAAAATATTTACTCAATAATGGACAATAAGAATTAAAAAGCCTCACCTTTTTAAACATTATACTTGTATAATTGAGTGTGTTAGAACGATTTTAAAGCTCTGGCATTTTGTGTTTGAGTTGATTTTTTTTTTTTTCGTTTATTTTCTTAGTGCTCCTTTTTGCGTTGTTGTCAGCCAGTCTATATAAAGTTTGGGGGGGAGGAAATCAGGGTACTCAAAACCTGAGTAATCTGCAAGTTACAGTTACTCAGTGAGCAGCACAGCGAGTCCCGTCGGTGACGTCATATTACGTTTTATGACTGTGGAGCTAAATTTAAGTATTTTACACACAATTTGGATTCTTTAGTGTAAAACGGCGACACATTCTCCGGAGGAGTCAGTTAATATGTCACTCTGTAACTGTGTAATGTGGAGATATGATATAGATATATAAAGATGCAGATTCAGGCAGCTGGCTGATCTATATTTGATGTAAACTGTTTCTATTGTTCTTCTATTGTCCCAAAAGAATAACAGGAATGTGATGCGTTCAGTTACATGTCAAAACTAAACGAAACGAAACAAAGCTCACATGTCCTACTGCTTCTGAACCCATCCCTATGATACTCTGAGGTGTGTGTGTGTGTGTGTGTGTGTGTGTGTGTGTGTGTGTGTGTGTGTGTGTGTGTGTGTGTGTGTGTGTAAAATATATTTCCACTGTGTCACACACCTGAATAAACCACACACACACCCTTCTGGGGGTGGAGTTTCCCCCGTGTTTTTAAGTAATGCGTAACGAGCCGAATGGTGTCATTACGCACACGGAGCTCGGACTATCGTTTCCAGCCAGATTAGAGGCTGATGTTGCTGCCTTCTCTGTGAAGGAGGAAAGTCATCTGTCCAGTTTCTGGTTTGAACTTCAGGATGATTAGTGCGAGGATTTTATGGGTAAGTTTCACTTTCCTGCATTTCACCGCATTTTGTTTTGTTTTAGGGTTTTTTTGTTTTGTTTTTTGTCCAGGTGTAAAATGGAAAAGAACGTTTTCTAAGGCAAATTTATTTTTTAGTGATGGTCTGATAGATGTTTAAGGTTAAAATGCAATACACTGAAAACACTTCAGAATATATGGACAGATTTTCCTATAAGAATGAGAGACACATGTAAAGCCTGATTTATCAGTTTGTGACGATCTCGTGAAAACTGAAAGGATTCACTGTTAATAATCATTTCCATGAGCAGGGATGTGTGCATAAAAGTATGTATTATTCGTTATCCTTTAAAGGAAAAGTTAAGTTCACGAGTAATTAAAAATGTGCTGTATTTCAAATGTTGAAAGTAAAGATCATTTACAGCATGTCAGTGTAAAAAAACATTAAAAAATAGTCGTTTACATCAATTTAACAATAATCATGGAGAAATGTAAATAAACCAAAGAAAATCTAAAGATGCTTAAAAGTAATGGACTCAGGAGAAATATTAATATTGATAACAGAGGAATGAGTGCGCGTAACTGCCTGGGCTTGGTTTCATTCATAACTGTGCAGTAACACTCCTCTGTGTTTCATCATTGACTCACCATTTAACACCTACAAGTCCTGAGCCAGAGCAACCCAGCTGCTCCCTAACTGTGACCGTGAAATTATTCTAGATTCGAAGGATACATATTTTATCTAATCAAAGAAAAAAGAAGAAGAAGAAAGTAGAAGTCTTTATAAAATAACAATAATAGCTTAACAGTGGTGGAAAGAGAACAGTCTGGGTTCAAGTAGTCAAGACTTAAACAGAAGTACCATTGCAGTGTTCAGTTTTTAATTTTTTATCTAAGGTTTTTGGCAGTTAACCCAACAATGATATTCAGAATGAGCCTGTGCCTCAAGATTGAACACTTTCAATCTGAGTTATGTTGATTTGGGGGTTTTCTTTACACAACTTGGAGATAAATTGGTTCATAATTGATCTCCACACCTGCAGATCCGGTTTAGCTGTGTGACAGGTAACAAAGTGTTGTGCTTGTACTAAACCTAATGCCCTGCTGAGCTGTGACTGAGGACCCATGTGAACCCGGGCTGGTTTCAGACCCAGATTCATTCACTGTGACCGCCTCATCTATACTTAGATTTTTCTTGGCCCTCCGGCCACTTCCTCATTTCTGTCTTTTCAAACTCATCAAGCAGCATTTCTCTTTGTTCTTGTCATGAGCGCGGCATCAAGCAGGAATGTGTCGGCCGAGAAGCTCGTTGGTTTCGGCTCTGCGATCCTGTTCTGCAGCTTCCTGCTCTCGGTTAACTGGTCCATCAGGTGCTGTGGACTAAATTTACCCTTGTTCTCCGTTACGTTCCTGAGGGGAACACTATACATTTATCCGACAGGTTTTTAATGCTGTTGAAGATTAATCCAGCTCTTTATGACCTTACAACAAGAAAACTGCTGCTTTCTGCAACTGCTGCCAACTATTTAAAAAATCTGTAACCTGTAAACTGAGGGCTTTACAAATAAATTTACAAATGCAAGCATACTTTATTCATCTTAATATAGTTTTGTCTCGCAGTCTTTAAATCTTACATTTTATTGCTTCTTTATTGGGCCAAATGTAAATCTGCTACAAACTTGATGTAGAAATCTTGCATGTAATAACAAAACCAGGTGGCTGAAAGATATTTTTATTGATTATACAGCAGCAGTAGCACCTAAGAAGTTGCGAGTAATTTTAAAACCTCCCTTCTTGGTTTGAGGCCAAAATATGTAAACATGTCCAATATTTCACAAAAAATCCAAACATTTACTCCCCCACCCCCACCCCACCCAAAAAAAAGCACAACCC